TCTTGATCATCTATACAAAAACAAAAAAAATACAAGTGCAGACACAAAATAGACCAATGTCCAATCATTCATCACCAAACTTTCTCGTGTTTGGTTGTGTAAATTAATAGTGGATATGGTCTGCATCCTATATATCTATGCTGGGGGAACGTCAATAGCAACGAGCTGTGATATGATATGATCATATGTAAAAATGGGTTGGGTATCCCCTGTACCTTTTAAATAAAATTGAAAAATAATTGCAACACATTTAGTTTAATATTTTTTTATATTTATTTAATTTAATTATTAAAAATATAATATATATAGTTGATTGAATTAATTATTATATTATATGTATGATTACATTTTTAAGTTGTATATTTTTAATTTTATATTAAAAAATAATAATTTTTAATAAATATATTATACAATATATGAAATTCAAGTATATACTAATTAATATCTAATAAAATTTCTTTATTTACTAATTAAAAAATAAACTTTCATCCCTAAGAAAATTATTGTTTATATTACTTTAGCTTCAAGATGCTGCATGTACTCTCTTTCTCTCTCTTTTCCTATTTTTTTTTAAGTGAAACACATACTTGTCGGTTTTAAAGTTGCTTTTCATTTTGGTAGTGCAATCCAAACTTTTAACAGCGAAGATGATTTGAAATTGATAAAGAATCTAACAAAAATTGCTTTCGATCTCAATTTCATTGATGAATTAAACTTTTGGATTCAATGATTCGTTTTCAAATTTTAGTATTTATATTTAATTAATCGAGAATTCAATTTCTACTAACTATTTGAAAAAAAAAACCTATCCTCTGCATTTCCATGTTCAAAAAGAAAAAATCTCAATTTCATTGATAATGGATATATTGTTGCTATCTTCCTTTAATAATTAACCAATCAATCCTCTTGATTATGCTTAGAATAAAAACAACTACAAATACAAAAACAAATATTACCAATTTCCTAACTTTTATCACTCAAAAATTAGTTATTTACATTTACCTATTTGAGATGCAGTTCATTATTTTATTTTTTATTTTGTTATTTTCAGATAGGACACACAATTGCTTGCTTTTAAATCAATCTTTAATCTCAATAAACCAATATCCAAACTCTCCAGAGGGCAATTTACAACTGCTAAACAATCCAAAAAAAATTATTTTCGATCCAAATCCTATCTACAATAAGGCATATACTTTTTTACTATCTTACTTTATTATTGGTAACTTTAATGTGGGAGGTCCTTTTTTTATTTCACTGTCTTTTATTTTATAGGGCGTCTGGTACATCAGGTGTGTTTAACATCTTTTAACTTATACAACGTAAACAGTCAAAAGTAACCCCTATAATTGAAAAAACTGCTCTATTGCTCTGTAGATGTCAGATCGAATTTCAAATCACATTTCAAATCACATTTCAATTTCCTCCACAAAACACCTGCTGTTTTCTACCAAAAAAATAAAAAGCACCTGCTGTTTTTTGTAGGCCTGATTTCAAGAGAAGCTGCATAGATGGGTAGTTCAGACTTCAGAGCATCATAGCCATATATATGCAGAAAGCAAAGAGGAGCGGTTTATGGATTTTGATCCCTCGTAACCCTCATGACAAAGGAACTATATCTCATCCGTGTCATAGAATAAACCAGGATTTATTGCTTTAGAGGGATTCAGTTGTCCAGCAGCATTAGCAAACTCAGCACATTATTCACTATCTGGCCTATTGGTTTTGCTATCCATGCATGAAATTAAGCATTAAAATCATTTTGATCAGAGAATTTTCTTTGAATAAAGGGAATATTATTCTTAAGATTCAGTTCATTTGTACTTCTTGTCATGATTGTAGATTTGATAGCAGCTGATGTCCAATTTGGGTGAAATGACTTCATATATATTTGCAGCAACGTTAGGGCGCGCGTCCAAGGATTCTAAACATGCATGAGTGAGAACTTTGAATACTGAGAAGATGAATTTTATATATTTTAATTTAAAAAAGTGTTTTTCAATATAAATTGCAGTTTTTATGTATAATTTGGGTACTAAAATTATTTAAATACTTTTAATAAAATTACCTTTTAACTTTATTCATTAATGATGTTTTTGTAATTTTAATATTTAAACTGCATAAAAAAAAGTATAATTTGTATTGAAAAATATACCTATCTCATTTTAATTTATTATTCTAGTTTTGATTATTATTGGAATTTCTATAATTATTTGAATGAGTTGATTTTACAAAACTTTTATTATTTGCGTAGAAATGGATTAGTGTACATAAAATTAAAAAGTTTGCGGCTTAAGTGCAAATCTTTCATAATGTCAAGGATAAAATTATAAGGAAAAAGTCGAAAATCAGGGACCATATTGACTCAATGTGAATTTTGGGGTCAAAATGCATAAAATTGAAACGCTTTGGGACCAACATCTAACATTTTACCATTAAAGAAACTGCAAAAGCTCAATTTTTCCGACCCGGACTTGGTGTGGACACAGGACACCCTTTGTTCATTGCTCTAAAAGTCCGTGTCAAACTTGATTGTTTTT